CTCTCTCTCTCGCTCTCTCTCTTTCTCTCTCTCTCTCTCTCGCTATCTCTCTCTCTCTCTCTCTTCTCCTCTCCTCTCCTCTCCTCTCCTCTCCTCTCCTCTCTTCTCTTCTCTTCCACAGCTGGGAAACAACATGTTCTCCAAACTTTAGAACTTCATTAGCAAATAGAAGTCGCGCTCCTGACCCTGTGTTAAAACTGTCAACGCCCACACTTCCGCTCTTCAAGAGACTTGCGGGGCCTGCTGCTTGGGGTGGCGGTCTCGGAAAGTTGCAAAATTAGGGTTTAGGGTTTAGGGTTTAGGGTTTAGAGTTTAGGGTTAAGGCTCGGGGCTGATTCAAACCTCAACCCTCCAACCTAAGGCCCCCAAGAAAGTCGAGCCCCTCATGCTCGGGTTTAGGGTTTAGGGCTTAGGGCTTAGGGTTTAGGGTTTAGGGTTTAGGGTTTAGGGTTTAGGGTTTAGGGTTTAGGGTTTAGGGTTTAGGGTTTAGGGTTTAGGGTTTAGGGTTTAGGGTTTAGGGTTTAGGGTTTAGGGTGTTAGGGTTTTAGGGTTTAGGGTTTAGGGTTTAGGGTTTAGGGTTTAGGGTTTAGGGTTTAGGGTTTAGGGTTTAGGGTTTAGGGTTTAGGGTTTAGGGTTTAGGGTTTAGGGTTTAGGGTTGCTCCCAGGGGGGGGGGGGGGATCCGGAAAATCTGCCGTGGAGGCTCCATGGGCTTCTTGGGGTCGAGGATGACGATGGGATCTCCACTGCCTCGAATTTTTGGGGCATGGTGTAGGGTTTAGGGTTAAGGGTTTAGGGTTAAGGGTTAAGGGTTTAGGGTTTCGGGATTCGGGTTTCGGCCTCAAGCGAATTGCAAACATGTTGTGCGGTTTTTGCAGGATTCAAAGTTTCAGAGCCTGCAGACTTCGATGGGCTTAAGGATGGCTTTCCGGAGGCTAAAAACTCTAAGCCCCTGGAATAGCCCCTAACCCCTAAACCCTAAACCCTAAACCCTAAACCCTAAACCCTAAACCCTAAACCCTAAACCCTAAACCCTAAACCCTAAACCCTAAACCCTAAACCCTAAACCCTAAACCCTAACCCTAAGCGGCCGCCCCTGAAGCCCTTTCACCCGTCGACCACGGTCTCTGGGCGCCGGGTCCCGGGCGTTGCGCCAGCATGTGGGGCCTGAACCTTGCGGGATTGGGGGTTTAGGGGTTAAGGTTTAGGGTTTACGGCTAGGGTTTAGGGTTTAGGGTTTAGGGTTTAGGGTTTAGGGTTTAGGGTTTAGGGTTTAGGGTTTAGGGTTTAGGGTTTAGGGTTTAGGGTTTAGGGTTTAGGGTTTAGGGTTTAGGGTTTAGGGTTTAGGGTTTAGGGTTTAGGGTTTAGGGTTTAGGGTTTAGGGTTTAGGGTTTAGGGTTTAGGGTTTAGGGTTTAGGGTTTAGGGTTTAGGGTTTAGGGTTTAGGGTTTAGGGTTTAGGGTTTAGGGTTTAGGGTTTAGGGTTTAGGGTTTAGGGCTTAGGGCTTGGGGTTTGGGGTTTGGGGTTTGGGGTTCGAAGCTTCAGGGGGTTTAGGGGTTGGGGGTTCAGGGATGGGCTTGGGCTTTCAGAGGGCTCTCCTAGAGCAGTTATACTTTTCAGAGTTGAGGTTGTGTAGCCTCACCAGACGATGGGGAAATCAACGTGCCAGGGGCTTTATGCGAAATCCAGGGGACGCGTCGATGATAGTGTCACCCCCGCCGTAGATGGCTTCAAGGAAGCCTCCCAGCACGCACGTCCTAAACCCTAAAACCCTAAAACCCTAAAACCCCAAAAAACCCTAAAACCCTAAAACCCCCTAAAACCCTAAAACCCTAAAACCCTAAAACCCCAAAAACCCTAAAACCCTAAAACACTAAAACCCTAAAACCCTAAAACCCTAAAACCCTAAAACCCTAAAACCCTAAAACCCTAAAACCCTAAAACCCTAAAACCCTAAAACCCTAAAGCCCTAAAACCCTAAAACCCTGAAACCCTGAAACCCTAAAACCCTAAAACCCTAAAACCCTAAAACCCTAAAACCCTAAAACCCCAAACCCTAAACCCTAAACCCTAAACCCTAAAACCCAAAAGGATCCTAGAGGAGGGAAGGACATGACGTGCTTCACGTGAAACACCAAGCTCCCACAGGCTCTGCAACCCCCAAGACCCTACCCCTAAACCCCAGAAACCATGGTCTAGGGTTTAGGGTTTAGGGTTTAGGGTTTAGGGTTTAGGGTTTAGGGTTTAGGGTTTAGGGGTTGGGGGTTAGGGGTTAGGGGTTAACTTGGAACCCAAACCTGCAAGGTGTTGGGTTCAGTCGCATCATGGCGGGTGAAGTCACATCACCCCATTGCCACTCTGCAGAGCGTGAAGTGACATCAGGGGGCGTGAAGTCACACAGGGTTTAGGGTTTACGGTTTCGGGTTGTGGGGTGTGGGGTTTAGGGTTTAGGGTTTAGGGTTTAGGGTTTAGGGTTTAGGGTTTAGGGTTTAGGGTTTAGGGTTTAGGGTTTAGGGTTTAGGGTTTAGGGTTTAGGGTTTAGGGTTTAGGGTTTAGGGTTTAGGGTTTAGGGTTTAGGGTTTAGGGTTTAGGGTTTAGGGTAGGGTTTAGGGTTTAGGGTTTAGGGTTTAGGGTTTAGGGTTTAGGGTTTAGGGTTTAGGGTTTAGGGTTTAGGGTTTAGGGTTTAGGGTTTAGGGTTTAGGGTTTAGGGTTAGGGTTTAACAAATCCCCACCATCCACCCAGGAAGATGCGACTTAAACCCATAGCGTGTATCAACCTAAAACCTGTAACTCCGAAGTCAGCCAGCCTATCCAACACTTCAGCCTGGAACTTGGGAGTAACATACAAGATCGAGACCCCAACGAAGGGTTTAGGGCTTAGGGCCTGGGGCTTAGGGCCTGGGGCTTAGGGCTTAGGGCTTAGGGCTTAGGGCTTAGGGCTTAGGGCTTAGGGCTTAGGGCTTAGGGCTTAGGGCTTAGGGCTTAGGGCTTAGGGCTTAGGGCTTAGGGCTTAGGGCTTAGGGCTTAGGGCTTAATGTCCCCTAAAACCAAAACCCTGCATAGTGGGAAGCGCTGGTGATCTACGCGAGGTATACCTGTGAGGGATCGAGACTAGGTACACCGGTATACCTTTCGAGCATCTGAATACAGTATAAGGAGGGAGTTCCTGCGCAGCATAGCTGGAGGCCGCGGGGTCTCCCCTATACCGCCTCGGCAATTGCGTCCTTCACTATCGCACCGGAAGTCACCATCCCAGTAGCCTCTAGGGTTTAGGGTTTAGGGTTGTGGGTTTAGGGTTAGGGTGTAGGAGGGTTCTTGCTTTGGCTGGTTCTTACTCCTAGGGGACTCGGGCCAACCCTGACCCTGGGCCCTTCCTCTTGCATTGATTTTGGGGTTTGGGGGTTAGGGTTTAGGGTTTCAGCCTGTTTTGGACTGGACATGCTGACACTGACGAGGATGACGGCGGCAATGATACTGATGATGCTTCTGATAGTGGTGGCGCGGCGGCGACAATCACCATTGGCGTATTCTAGTATTCAAGTACGATGGTGGTCTTTGACACATATATGGGATTCAACATATTGGGCATTCTTCTCGGCCCTACGCCGTAAACCCTAAACCCTAAACCCTAAACCCTAAACCCTAAACCCTAAACCCTAAACCCTAAACCCTAAACCCTAAACCCTAAACCCTAAACCCTAAACCCTAAACCCTAAACCCTAAACCCTAAACCCCCCGGAACCCTGAACCCACGAAAGCCCTTGGGTAGTCCAGGGCTTCGGTCTTGGGGGGTCCCCAAAGCCTAAGGCCTCCAGACCCTAAACCCTAAACCCTAAACCCTAAACCCTAAACCCTAAACCCTAAACCCTAAACCCTAAACCCTAAACCCTAAACCCTAAACCCTGAAGCCTCTAGACCTTCAACCCCACTTGGAGGTTCATGGGTACTTCTAACCCCAGTTAATTATAAGTCTACTCTTAACCTACTTAGAGGACTTAGGGGGCTTAGGGGGTTTAGGGGGCTTACAAGGTACAGTTGTAATTGGGGATATAAGTGCCCTGAACCCTAAACCCTAAACCCGAAACCCCAGACCCTAAACCCTAAACCCTAAGGGTTATCAGAAGTACCCTGAACCCCCAAGCTATCCAAGAATCGACCCAAAGAGCAATTCTTTGCCTTCGACACCCTCCCCTTCTTGTAGCTTCTGGAGGCTCCCCTCCTTCCCAGACCCCTGGGAGGATCCAAGAAGTAGATGACCTTAACGGCTCCTGAGAATGACCCAACACCATGCTGCCCTTAGAACCTTAATAAAAACAATATTGTTAATACCCTCTTGGGTTCTATAAACAACAAGAGTATTAAAAAAAAAAAAAAAAAAAAAAAAAAAAAAATTCCAAAGGGGGATCTAGAATAGTAGTGTCGGATACTACTTCGGTGTTCTACTTTATTTGGATCCTCCCAGGAGGCTTTGGGCAAAGGTTCCCGGTTGGAGGTGCTCCGAACCACCCGAAGCCTACTGCAAACCCTAAACCCCAAACCCCAAACCCCAAACCCTAAACCCTAAACCCGGAACCCCAACAGAGTCGAGGGGCGGCCCTCCAGGGGCAGTGGGAACTGATAGGGTGCGTTGAGCCAGTCCTGGGAGAGCTTCGTGGACACCCTAAACCCTAAACCCTAAACCCTAAACCCTAAACCCTAAACCCTAAACCCTAAACCCTAAACCCTAAACCCTAAACCCTAAACCCTAAACCCTAAACCCTAAACCCTTGCTGGGAGGTCGGAAGGGCACTGAAAACTCAGCTACCATCAAAGGGAAACGACATCAAAGGCTTGGGGTCTCAGGCACTTGGCTTCCTGTACACCTTCAGAAGGTGCTCCGAACCTGGGGGGGAGGGGGAAGGACCCGAAACCCTAAGCCCTGAACCCTAAACCCTGAACCACGTCCCATGGCCAGTGAGTAGGCCTAAGCCAACAAGCCAACAGCGCTGAGGTGTGGTACCCAGTCAGGTCCGGGCGTCCTCGCCCACGTTGCTGAATTGGCCAGCGGTGAGATTCAGGTAGTTCCGCCACCATGCATCCTTCAAGGAAAGCTTAGCTGGTGTCAGATGAAGAACCCTACTGTCCTTAGTAGCCCAGTAACCATGTCAGATTTAGGATACCCTGTTTTTGGGTTGGCTACTTTATAAGGGAACCCAAAACCAAAAAACGGGTAAAGGGTACCAGTGGGCTACCAAGTCTCACGAAATTCTTCTGGGGTCCAATGTTCGGGGTTCAGGGATCACAATTCTTGTTTTCTTTCCAAGCGAATGAGCATGAACTATGAAAAATCGAAACTAGGAAGAATGAGCCGCAGGAGGATGGACCGAACGAGTGAGAAGGACCCGGTGGGCGGGTGGGGTTTTGTCTGGTTGCTCGAACCCCTTCGAAACAAGTCGTGGCCCAGCCAATCGAAAAACCCCAAACCCTAACCCTAAACCCCACCCCAAACCCTACAGCCTGAAGCTTGAATTCCTTAACTAAGGGTCTTGGGTCGAGTGAACACACAAAAAAAAGACTCGCGCACTTGTGAGAACTGATGCTGCTCCTCGTAGTAGACGTAGAGCTTCCTTGGGGGGCCAACACGGTCTTCGGGGCGTAGGGCTTAGGGAGTTTAGCATTTAGTGATGAGGGTTTAGGTTTTAGGGTTTATAGGATTTAGGGGTTTAGGGTTTAGGGTTTAGGGTGCGCCGGATTGCGCAGAAATATGCTTTCACCAGATGCAAGCGGGCGCATGCGCAGCTTCTTTACACAGACTGGACTGGAGCCTGCTCCGGGAGTAGAAGTCCGCACCTTCGGAACTTTGGGTACGAATACAAGCTGCACTTGCCAATGTCTGCCGCTCCTGGGATCCCCGAACCCCGAACCCCAAACCCTAAACCCTAAACCCCAAACCCTAAACCCTAAGACGTCCCAGCAGCAGAATGGCGAAGGGCATGGGCGCGAAGAGGTCATCGCGGGGAGTCATGATGTCGTCCACCTGAAGAGCCCAAAGCCCTAAAACCCAAAGCCCGAATTACTAAAAGCTGTCTAGGGTTTAGAGTTTAGGATTTAGGGTTTTAGAGTTTTAGGGTTTTGGGGTTTGGGGGTGTTGCGAAATTTTCGGTTTTGTTTGGGTTTGGGGGTCTTGGGGTATGGATGTTGGCAATCCTCTTGCATCGATGACCTGGCGTCACGGAAGCACCTTGAGGTCAACAGCATAAATCTTAGGGTTTAGGGTTTAGGGTTTAGGGTTTAGGTCCCTTGAGTGGGGAGCCCTCATATACCCCTTCTATACCCTTTACGACCCAAGGGTCCATACATCAGAACCCTTTAAGGAGGGTAAGGGACCAACATAAGGAACCCTGAAACTACCCTTAGACGAGCAAAAGGCAACAGAACTACCTAGTCCGCATCAGCCCTCAGAACACACGACAAACCCTAAACCCGAACTCCCTGAACCCTCTCGGGTTCAGGGTATATAGTGGGTAGGGCTTAGGGTTTAGGAGGGACGCCTCAACTGCAAGTTCCGCCTAAACCCTAAACTAAACCCTAAGCCCTAAACCAAATAAACCCAAAACCCTAAACCCACTCCTCTGGGGCGCCTCCGCGCTGGCGCTGAGCAGCCGCAGCAGCGGCAGCTGCGGCACGTTCAGGAGCACCGCGCTGGCCTCCACCTTCTAGACCCGTTTAGGGTCTAGGGCCGTTTAGGGTTTAGGGTGTAGGGTTGAGGGTTGAGGGTTTAGGGTTTAGGGTTTAGGGTTCAGGGTTTAGGGTTTAGGGCTTTAGGAGTTTTAGGGGTTTTTGGGGTTTCAGGGGTTCTAGGGGTTTTTGGAATTTCAGGGTTTAGGGGTTAGGGAGGGAGTAGGGGTTTAGGGGAGGGGTTTAGGGGTTTAGGGGTTTAGGGGTTTAGGGGTTTAGGGGTTTAGGGGTTTAGGGGTTTAGGGGTTTAGGGGTTTAGGGGGTTAGGGGGTTAGGGGTTTAGGGGTTTAGGGGTTTAGGGGTTTAGGGGTTTAGGGGTTTAGGGGTTTAGGGGTTTAGGGGTTTAGGGGTTTAGGGGTTTAGGGGTTGCAGGGGTGTGCGGGGTGTAGGAAGTAGGGCATAAGAACCGAGTAGAGGCTCACTCCCGGTCGCCTGGCCTCCTTGAGACCATCCGGGCCCTTCCTCAGCCAGGTTTAGGGTTTAGGGTTTAGGGTTTAGGGTTTAGGGTTTAGGGTTTAGGGTTTAGGGTTTAGGGTTTAGGGTTTAGGGTTTAGGGTTTAGGTGTTAGGGTTTAGGGTTTAGGGTTTAGGGTTTAGGGTTTAGGGTTTAGGGTTTAGGGTTTAGGGTTTAGGGTTTAGGGTTTAGGGTTTAGGGTTTAGGGTTTAGGGTTTAGGGTTTAGGGTTTAGGGTTTAGGGTTTAGGGTTTCGGTTTAGGGGTTCGGGGTTAGGGTGTAGGGGTTAGGGGTTCTGGGTTTGGGGTTCAGGGACTCAAGACCTTCGGGTTTGGGGTTTAGGGTGTAGGGTCTAGGGTCTTATTTGGTACTGATTCTGGGTTTGGGGTTTGGGGACTAAGGGCCTTCGGGTTTGGGGCCTAAGGGTGTGGAGTTCACTTGGCCTGACAAATAGGGTCAGAAGTAGGGCAACTATGGTTATTGCCTGATTTAGGGTGCTTCTATGTTTACTTGGACAAGTATACCCATTAACCTCCAAGTAGGGACTGTAGGGGCCTTCCGGAAGATGTGACTTTGGGCAATACAGGAATCGGAATCATTACTAATAGTATTCCCTTATGGCCCCTTTGTAATTATGCTGTAATAGACTCCCCTAAACCGTAATGTAACTATTTAGGCACCTATTGTAGCCCTAAGCCCTAAACGCTAAACCCCTTCACTTTTTTTATTTTTCAGGCCCCAATATTAACTCGCCAGCCACGCGCTGCACTGAGCAACCTGCCCCTACTGGCTTCTGAGGTCCTGGCACAGAGAGGCTGACGCCGCCTCAACTGTACTCAGGAGGGTGCAGGGTTTAGGGTTCAGGGTTCAGGGTTCAGGGTTTAGGGTTCAGAGTTCAGGGTTCAGGGTTCAGGGTTCAGGGTGAGCGAAAGTTTTGAGCGAAAGTTTTGAGCGAACGTTTTGACCGAGACGTTTTTTTTTGGAACCACATTTTTATTTTTGGGAATTGCGGGGGGCTGGGACCTGATTTGGGGTCTTGGAGCCTTTTGTGGCTTTTTGGCTTGTTGGGGGACACCCGGAGCCTCCCGGAGCCTGATTTGGGGCGTTGGGGCTTTTGCTTCTTGGAACATTTTTTGGGGTTTAGGGGTCTGGGGTCTGGGAGGGTCTGGGAGCAAATTTTGGGCGCCAGCAGCCAATTTTGGGCTTGGGGGCTCCGGAAGCCACTTTTGGGCTTGGGGAGCAACCAGTTGGCTTGGGGAGCAAGTTTTGGGCTTTTGGGGGCCAATTTTGTTTGGGCGCTCCGGAAGCCAATTTTTTGCTTGGAGAGCCAATTATGAATTATGGGCTTTGGGGGCCAATTTTGTGCTTTGGGGGCCAATTTTGGGCTTTGGAGGTTAATTTTGGGCTTTGGGTGCCAATTTGTGGGCTTTGGAGCCAATTTTGGGCTTTGGAGCCAATTTTGGGCTATGGGAGCCACTTTGGCTTTGGTGGCCTGTTTCGGGCTGTGAGAGCCAATTTTTTGGGCTTTGGAAGCTGGGCTTTGGGAGCCAATTCTGGGCTTTGGGAGCAAAAGTTGGGCTTTGGGAGGCTTCGGAAACCTATTTTGGGATTTGGCAGTCAATTTTGGACTTTGGGAGCCAACTTGGGCATTGGGAGACAGTTTTGGGCTTTGGGAAGTCATTGGAAGCGAATGGAAGCCAATTTTGGGCTTTGGGAGGCGATTTGGGCTTTGGTTTGCCGGGACCCGGGAAGGCCCCAGAGGTTTAAGTAAATTGAACATTTGGCCTCCCGGCCTCCCGCTTTGGATTGATTTACTTAAACTCTGTTTGTCAGCTGTCTAGACAAATATCTTGGAAAATTCAGAATGATACCACATACAATTTCTATTCATTTTGCCTTGAGGGTTTAGGGTTTAGGGTTTAGGGTTTAGGGTTTAGAGTTTAGGGTTTAGGGTTTAGGGTTTAGGGTTTAGGGTTTAGGGTTTAGGGTTTAGGGTTTAGGGTTTAGGGTTTAGGGTTTAGGGTTTAGGGTTTGGGGTGTATATCTGGGGGAGATTTGGAACGAAAACCTGAGAGAAACTAAACAGTAAACAGGAATAAAGTGGGTAAAGGGCAGGACCCACGCGCCTGTATTCTCACCTTCTACCTACCATGTATTCCTTGGCTTGGCTTGCCACTTCTCCTCATACTTAATTTTCCCTGATGATCCCTTCGCAATTATGCTACAACCAAAAAATTCTATTTACTAAGGCCCCGATAATGGATCCCCAGACCCTGAAAACCCATCTGTTAGACCGAGCTGAGATCGCGGCTGCCGGCCCTCTTCAGAGCGACCACCTCCGACAGGGCTTAGGGCTTAGGGCTTAGGGGTTGGCGGTCTTGAGGGATTTAGGGTTTCGGGTTTAGGGTTTGGGGTTTAGGGTTTGGGGTTTAGGGTTTAGGGTTTGGGGTTTGGGGTTTGGGGTTTGGGGTTTGGGGCTTGGGGTTTGGGGTTTGGGGTTTGGGGGCGCAGAGAGCGCAATACTCCCGAAAGACGAAAGAACTTTAGTGCACAATTTGAAGAAATGTGCAGCTGAGTTTGGTCTTGTCCAGAAGTATGGGGCATGGGGATCCATCAACCCTGCACCATAAGCCCTACAGCCTGATGGCAAACCCCAAAACCCAAACCCTAAACTCTAAACTCTAAACCCTAAACCCTAAACCTAAACTCTAAACCCCCCAAACCCTAAACATTGGTTTTCTGCGATTCTTGAGGGGAGAGCTCTCCATGCCTGAGCTCCGCATCAGAATCTCCAGGATTCGCTGACTTGATGTAAGAGCGGAACCATGGCCCCCCAGTAGTATGGTCCAAGGATGGGCCCTTACTTCTTATCTTGTATATAAGGGACATAGAACAAGGGGCCCACGGGCCCATACCTTGGAACCTTAGATTGAGGGCTCAGGGCGTGGTGATTTTAGGGAGGGTGTAGGGTTGAGGGCGTAGGGGTTCCGTAGAGTCTTAGGGCCCTCATTTAAACCCTAAACTCTACACCCTTCTCGTTCAACGCCTCGCCTCATGAAGCATGTAGATGTGAAGGCGGCCTGCCTGTGGAGCAGGGCTGGTGGGGGGGGGGGGGGGGGAGTGCTGATGATTCCTGGATACACAGGGCTTCGGGTCGAGAGTTTAAGGAGCTTGGGGTTTGGGGTTCAGGGTTTAGGGTTTAAGGACCATCCGGAGATTCTCGCGCAAGACCGCCGTCGACAGCCTATGTTCTCTAGGACGGCGAGGTCGCCAATGCAAGGTGGTTGGGCCTCAAGTTGGGGGGCAATCCTGAGAGAACAGGTTCTCTAGGGCTCTAGGGTAGCTTAACTGCGCTGCAACCCGAAACCCTAAACCCTAAACCCTAAACCCTGAACCCTAAACCCTGAACCCTGAACCCTAAACCCTAAACCCTAAAGTTGAGTTTAGGGCTTCAGGGTTCCGGCTTCTTTGCTTCAGGGCGTCGCCTCCTCGGCTTCCTTGGCCATGGTCTCGACGAAGGTGGCGTAGCCGGCGTTGTGGCCGTCCCTGAAACTACTGTTTGCTCAAGAACCCCAAAAGAATTTCTTTTTTTAGCAAGGACCCCAAAAGACTTTCTTTTTTAAAAAACAGAACCCCAAAAGAATTTGTAAAAAAAGAGAATAATCCCCTTTTTTTAACCTTCATAAGGAAGAAGAATTTGTTTTTTTTTTCTGGGTTCTTAAGCACTTAGTAGGAAGAGGTCTGAAGTCTGAAGTCCCTAAACCCTGGTTTGGGGTCAGGGCTTAGGGGCTTTGGGGCTTAAGGTTTAGGGTTTGGGGTTTGAGGTCAGGGCTTAGGGGTTTAGGGTCTATGGGGTTCCCCAAGCCTTAGCAATCCCTATGCGCCGCAAAACCCGAACCTTTAGCAATGACGCTTCCCCCCCGCACCCTGAGCACCAGGTAACAGCTGCAATCGCCTTCCACGTAACCCTCAACCCTAAACCCTAAACCTTGCTTTGGAACCTCTTCAAACCCGCACAGAGATTGCCGTGTAATGCTGCAATGATATGATGTAAACCCATCACATTGAAACCGAAAACAAATATGCGTGTCATTGTTTTTGTATCTAAATTCGTTATTGTAATTGCATTTGAGCTGTTGCAGAGATACAAATAACAACTTGTCTTCTGACATTGTGGAATATTACATTTTCCTGAATCTTGTATATGTTTTGAAAACACATTCCAAAATGAGCTCAAGTCTTAAACAATGGAAACTTGCATTGTTCAGATGGGGTGGGGCTTAGGAATTGTTTACGGGTGCAGGGCTTAGGCTTTAGGCTTTAGGCTTTAGGCTTTAGGGCTTAGGCTTTAGGGTTTAGGGCTTAGGGCTTAGGCTTTAGGCTTTAGGCTTTAGGCTTTAGGCTTTAGGCTTTAGGCTTTAGGGTTTAGGGTTTAGGGTTTAGGGTTTAGGCTTTAGGGTTTAGGGTTTAGGGTTTAGGGTTTAGGGTTTAGGGTTTAGGGTTTAGGGTTTAGGGTTTAGGGTTTAGGGTTTAGGGTTTAGGGTTTAGGGTTTAGGGTTTAGGAGGCCCAGACGTCAAACCGAGGCCAGGAAACATTGAAACTCCAACCCTAAGCCCTCAGGCCCGACACTCTGAAGCCCCTGAACCCTCAAACCCTAAACCCTAAACCCTAAACCCTAAACCCTAAACCCTAAACCCTAAACCCTAAACCCTAAACCCTAAACCCTAAACTCCTAAACCCTAAACCCTAAACCCTAAACCCTAAACCCTAAACCCTAAACCCTAACGCGTAAACCCCTACACGGGAATAGAAAGGGTGGGGGCGGGGGTCGTGGGGGAGGGGAGGCCGAGCTGCTCGTTCACAATCTTCTCCATCTTCGAGTGGTCACCTTCTCAGCACCCCCCTGGGAGCCCAAAGACCATCACAGGGGTGTAGGGTTTAGGGTTTAGGGTTTAGGGTTCAGGGTTTAGGGTTTAGGGTTTGGGGTTTGGGGCTTGGGGCTTTGGGGTTTGGGGTTTAGCGTGTTTTATACAGGGGTTAGGGGTTTAGGGGTTGATGGGTTTGATAAGTCTTGTAATTTTAATTAGGGGGCGATTAGGTGGGTTCAGGGTGCAGGGTTCAGGGTCGTGTTTTAGGGTTTCTCGGTTTTGGGATCTACCCTAAACCCGTCCCCCCCCCCCCCACCCCAAGCAAAATATACAAAAAAGATCCCTAAACCCAAGCCCCCCACCACCCCCCCCCCCCCCCCCCAACAAAAACCAGAAACACACACACACACACAAATTGACACACAAAACACAAGTTAGCAAAAGAAAGCAAGCACCTGGGACGGGGTCGTAGAGGGCCGTCTTTAGCTTGAGGGCATCCTGGTCGAGGGCCGCTCTCCGGGGGCGGGCTGAGGGTTTAGGGCGGTTTAGGGTTTAGGGTTTAGGGTTTAGGGTTTAGGGTTCAGGGTTTAGGGTTCAGGGTTCAGGGTTCAGGGTTCAGGGTTCAGGGTTCAGGGTTCAGGGTTCAGGGTTCAGGGTTCAGGGTTCAGGGTTTAGGGTTAGGGTTTAGGGTTTTTGAGGGTTGAGGGTTGAGGGTTTGAGGGTTTTAGGGTTTAGGGTTTAGGGTTGAGGGTTGAGGGTTGAGGGTTTGAGGGTTTAGGGTTTAGGGTTGAGGGTTGAGGGTGAGGGTAGGGTTCAGGGTTCAGGGCTTAGGGCTTAGGGCTTAGGGCTTAGGGCTTAGGGCTTAGGGCTTAGGGCTTAGGGCTTAGGGCTTAGGGCTTAGGGCTTAGGGCTTAGGGCTTAGGGCTTAGGGCTTAGGGCTTAGGGCTTAGGGCTTAGGGCGTGGGGTTACCCTAAACCCTAAACCCTAAACCCTAAGTGTTTAAATCGCATCTTGACTTTGGAACTTCGGGTGGTTTAGGGTTTGGGGTTTAGGGTTTAGGGTTTAGGGTTTAGGGTTTAGGGTTTAGGGTTTAGGGTTTAGGGTTTAGGGTTTAGGGTTTAGGGTTTAGGGTTTAGGGTTTAGGGGTTGTCTCCCCCCCCCCCCTCCACCCCGTGACGCCAGCCAGCGCCTTGACCAGGTGCGCGACCAGCGGTGTCCACTCGCACTTGGAGACCTCTGTGCATGAGGGGGTCTTGAGGGCCCCTGGAAACTTTCCTAAGATTTAGGGATATTACCCCCCCTAGGGTTTAGGGTTTAGGGTTTAGGGTTTAGGATTTAGGGTTTAGGGTTTAGGGTTAGGGTTTAGGATTTAGGCGTTGAGGTTTGGGGCTCGCGGGGTATTTGGGGCTTTAAGTCCTGCAGTTGAAGGTTCAAGGGTGCTGTTGGCTTCGGGTCTTGAGGTGAGCCTGTCAGGTTCAGCTTCAACCGTACCCTGTTTAGGGTTTAGGGTTTAGGGTTTAGGGTTTAGGGTTTAGGGTTTAGGGTTTATAGGGTTTAGGGACCTTAGCTGCTGGGTTCCTAACCCCCAAGACATGTACACATCCACTTCTATGGGGGATTCACCTTCAATTCTGCAGGGGACTATGGCATCCCCGAAGGTGTAAGGTGTATTCATTCAGCTACTAAGAAACCCTGAACACCCTGAACCCCAGTTTCTTGGCTTGAGACAAACAGGTCCGAACGCATTGAGTGCGCCCCGGACGGCTTGGGGGGGTTAGGGTTGGATGTCTAGGGTTTGGGGTTGGAGGGTTTAGGGATTTGGGGTGTGAGGTTTAGGTTTAAGATTTGAAGCGGGATTACTCCATCTAGTTGTTTCGAGTAATGCGAGGGTGTTAGGGTGAAGGCGGCTTAAATTCGAGTCCTCACTGTCAGCTCTGTGCGCCACCTAGCATTCCCCGAGACCCCGCAGGGGCCATCGGCCCTCCTGAACCCTTAAAATCCCTGAACCCCAAAACCCCCGTAAACCCCCAAACCCCTAAACCTCCGAACCTACACCCCTAAGTCCTAATAACCCCGAAACCCTGCACCTCTAACCCTAAACCTGCACCTTTAACCCTAAACCCGGAAACCGTACACCTCTAAACCCTGAACCCCAAAAGCCCACACCTCTAAACCCTAAACCCCTGAAACCCTGAAACCCCTAAACCCCTAAACCCCTAAACCCCTAAACCCCTAAACCCCTAAACCCCTAAACCCCTAAACCCCTAAACCCCTAAACCCCTAAACCCCTAAACCTTAAACTCAAAACCACGAAACCCCCCCCCCCCCCCCCCAAAAAAAAAAAAAAAAACGAAACCCCGAAACCCCGAAACCCCGAAACCCCGAACGCCGGCCTGCCCGAACTTCTCGCACTCCGGGGAAGGGACGAAGCCTGGTCTTGCTGGGGTTGGGGGGGTGGTTCCACAGATGGCATCTTCTGGTGTGAAAAGGGTCTTGCGGGTTCAGGGTTTAGGGTGCGGGGTTCGGGGCTTAGGGTTCTTTTTGTTGGGTTTTGGGTGTCAAGGCTTGGAGAAGCCTCGGGACCGCATAGGTGCGCTCATGATACACCTTGCCCTAAACCACGCCAAGCCTTGACCCCTGAACCTGTTCACACCCTAAACTGCAGACCACCCCGAAACCCTAGACCCTGAAGCCTACACCACCCGTAAATCCTGATACCTGAACCTCCCTAAGCAAGCCCCTTGAAAACCACAAACCCTAAAGAGCACCCCAAGGCTCAAAACAGCTGTAGACCCCACACCACCATAATAACAACCCAAAATAGCAGAACAACGTTCAGAGCTCTCAGCAGCCCCAACCTAAACCCTAAAACGCAAAAACGCCCTAAGCCCTAAACAGCCCTAAAACCCCAGAGGTGAGAGGTCAAGAACCTGATGCCCTCCATATGCCAAACTCTCCTACTCCTGAGGGAGGCAGTAACCCCTACTTTGACGCCAACGGGTCTTCCGAATTCGTCGTTCTGTGGCTTCTGAATCTGGCTGGCCCCCTGCCCTCACGATGCTCACGGGGGGCGCACTCCCAGGAATCGTTCCTCAAGGTACTCGAGTCGTGCCTCGATCCGTGCGGTCGTGTTCACGGTCGCCTGCAGGGCCTGCAAACCCTAAACCCTAAACCCTAAACCCTAAACACCTCGTTGACGGTCGCCTGCAGGGCCTGCATGTCCTGCCAACCCTCAACCCTCAACCCTCAACCCTCAACCCTAAACCCTAAACCCCAACCCTATCCGAGTCGAAGAGGGAAGGGTACTTCCAGAGCCACGCCGGGAAGCGGTAGGCTCCGGCTTCCACAACCAGGTCCTTTAGGGCTCTTAGCGTGTAGGGTTTAGGGTTTAGAGTTAGGGTTTAGGGTTTAGGGTTTAGGGCTTAGGGCTTAGGGCTCAGGGCTGAGGGCTTAGGGCTTAGGGCTTAAGGCTTAGGGCTTAGGGCTTAGGGCTTAGGGCTTAGGGTTTAGGGCTTAGGGCTTAGGGCTTAGGGCTTAGGGCTTAGGGCTTAGGGCTTAGGGCTTAGGGCTTAGGGCTTAGGGCTTAGGGCTTAGGGCTTAGGGCTTAGGGCTTAGGGCTTAGGGCTGTTCCCCTTATACTAGCAGTCCTTAGAAGGGATTCTAATCGGGGGCACTAGAATCCCTATTTAGGACTTCAAGTATAAGGGGGGACATCACAAGGCTTGGGGTTTGTAGAGTTTGCGGTTTGCGGCATGGGCTTTAGGGTTTGGGGTTTCAGGTTTGGGGTTCAAGCGGAACTTGGGAGCCACGAGTTTGTTTTGCCCCTGGCCTCTGATCCACCCCTCCTCTGAAAGGTCCCGGCAAGTGCCTGGGTTTAGGGTTTAGGGTTTAAGGTTTAGGGTTTAGGGTTTAGGGCCAGAAGGCTGCGAAAGACTTGTTGCCATAAAGATGCCTTGTGACATTAGAGGCTTGCGAGAGCTTGGGGACGGGTCCCCCTTGCGCCTTGAGCTTGTTTAAAGCTACTTGGAGGGTTACTTCGGTACTTGTACGTAGATTCATGAGCAGGGTAGCTGTGGTTCTATCCTTATTTAGGCACTTCTAAGCGTACTTATGTAAGTACCCAAAAGAACCTCCAAGTAGGGACAGAGCTATACACGACCTGCATGGTTTAGGGTTTAGGGCTTAGGGCTTAGGGCTTAGGGTTTAGAGTTTAGGGGTTCAGGGTTTTCATTTTCGGGCTGACTCCCAGACCCAAAACCTGGACAATTCACGCACAACTGTACACCTGAACCCTAAAGCCAGACAAACTCCCAGATCCTTATAAGCCCTTAAACAATGAACGGAACCTCTACACCCTAGCCAATAAACCCCAAAGCCCGAAAAACATCGACCCTGAAAAGCATAAAACTCTCAAATCCCTAAAGCCCTGAACCCTAGACCTCTAAAACTCTTGAGAACTCTAACCCTCAAACCCTAAACCCTAAACCCCTAAAGCCCTAAAGCATGTCCTTGTGTGGGCCGACACCCCGGACCGAAGCGATGCGGCCGCCTCCCAAAGGCTGACGGTTTAGGCTTTGAGGGTCTGAGGGTCTGAGGGTCTGAGGGTCTGAGGTTTCGGGTTTAGGGTTTAAGGTTTTGGGTTTAGGGCTTAGGGTTTAGGCATTGAGGGTCGGAGGGTTTTAGGTTGGGATCTATAAATCCTGTTCAGGACTGTTAGTATAAGGGGGGCCATCCCAAGTTGTAGGGTTTAGTGCAAGTTTAGGGTGAAGAGGGTTTAGGGGTTCAAGGTTCTTCGGGGTTTAGGGACTTTTGGGTTTAAGGCTTCGTGCTTGCAGACCCCCGCTGGTCCAAAAAGCCTCCAAACCGCCCGCAGATCTTCTCCGCAATCTCAGACCCTATAGGGTTTAGGGTTTAGGGTTTAGGGTTTAGGGTTTAGGGTTTAGGGTTTAGGGGTTTAGGGTTTAGGGTTTAGGGTTTAGGGTTTAGGGTTTTTAGGGTTTAGGGTTTAGGGTTTAGGGGGTTTAGGGTTTAGGGTTTAGGGTTTAGGTTTTGGGTTTAGCGTTTAGGTTTAGGGTTTAAGGTTTAGGGTTTAGGGTTTAGGGTTTAGGGTTTAGGGTTTAGGGTTTAGGGTTTAAGGTTTAGGGTTTAGGGTTTAGGGTTTAGGGTTTAGGGTCCAGGGTTCAGGGTTTAGGGTTTAGGGTTTAGGATGTACGGTTAAATCAAAAAACCAAACAAATTATTTGGTAGAGATACTCTGGGGTTGGGCACTCCAGGGACACTCTGGGGCTGGGCACTCCGGGAACACTCTAGGGTTGGGCACTCCAGGCAGACTCTGGGATGGGCACTGCAAGGAGACTTTGGGGCTGGGCAACTGGGAGACTAGCACTGGGACACTCTGCTAGAGAGGGAGATTTTGGAGGCTGGGCACTCCGGCGACACTCCGGGTTTGGGAGAGTCTGGGGTTGGGCACTCTGGAGACTCTGGGTGAGACTCTGAAGCTGCGCTCCGGGACAGTCTGGGGTTGGGCACTCCAGGGGGGGGTTGGGCACTCCCGGGGGCATTTTGGGGTTGGAGGCTCTTGACTCTGGGGTTGGGGATTCCAGGGAAAATCTAGATTTGGGCATTTTGAGGGACACTTTGGGGTTGGGCAGTCCAGGGATGAGCGAGGAGTAGACCGGGCGGGCGAGGAGAAGAGTTCCGGGCGAGGAGAAGAGTTGAGTGTAAAATCTAACAACCCCACACCGAGGGTGGGGGATAAACAACAATCATATGATACAAGCTGATCATCCAACCGAAGCCAAGCCGGATCTGAGGGTAGTTACATGGTCCCTTAGTGTGGGCCCTTTAAAGGGGCCCCTTATATACACCTTACAAACCCTATACAAATTTAGGGCCAATGCATAAGGGAGATAAGGGACCATATTAGGGGCCCATGCTAACCTGACAGAGTAGCCTAGCACCTAAACCCTAAGAGTAACAAGGGCCTATACCATGCAGGGCCATAAACCCTAAACCCTAAACCCTAAACCCTTTAGTCAAGCCGGTGTCAGCGCAGCCCTGGCCTAGTCGCTTGGACCGCTCGAACAAGCAAACCTGCGCTGCATGAGAGGAGGCCGCTTGTGCAGCTTTATGGGCATTCTAAAGCCTAGAAGCCGCAAACCCTAAACCCTAAACCCCAAACCCCAAACCCTAAACTCTAAAGCCTATAACGCCCAAAAAACCCCTTAAACCCTGCAAGCCCTATACACCCTGCAAACCCTATTCGAACCCTATACAACCCCTACAAACCCTACCACCCCTGCAAACCCCATAAATCCCACAAACCCTAAACCCTACAAACCCCAAACCCTTCCCCCGAAACCCCCCCCCCCCCTTTGGCGCCCTGGGGTTCAACGAACCCTAACTAACCCAGCTGTGCAACCCAACAGCCAGCAAGACAAAGAGCATCGAGTTCCGTTCCATGGCCCCCCCGCCTCTAGGGATAGAAACCCTAAACCCTAAACCCCAAACCCCAAACCCCAATCCCCACCCTTACCCTTACAAGGAGGAATATCTTTTTCAGGGGTAGGGAGGCCTTAAGCAAATAGTACTTGGAGGTTCATGGTACTTACTAACCAGGTAGATCTGTACTTGTAACTCCACTTGTAAGCCCCTTGGGCGCCCTAATATGGTTATAAGCACAGTTGTAAGTACAGCTATAACTGGTTAATGAGTACCCTAAATCCTAAACCCTAAACCCTAAACCCTAAACCCTAAACCCTAAACCCTAAACCCTAAACCCTAAACCCTAAACCCTAAACCGGCTTAGGGTTTCGGGACGGCCCCGACCTCTGCGTCCGGCAGCGAAGTGGCCAGGCGCCAGGCTGTATAGACCTGGAGACGTCGCGGCTGTTCTCGGTGCAGGGGTTTAGGGTCTAGGGCTTAGGGCTTAGGGCTTAGGGCTTAGGGGTTAGGGCTTAGGAGTTTTAGTGAATGAGTCTGATGTCAGAAGCGCGGTTAAGTCAGAGTCTGGGTCAGATCATGGCCGACTCCTCAGCGCAAAAAGAACCGAAGGAGCCTAATACAAGGGTCGGAATAATTACTCGTAATGTTCCCTTATGGTCCCTTTGTAGGTATACTATAATAACCCCCAAAACCCTATTCTCATTATTCAGGCCCCCATATTGCGTCAGTGCTTCTGGTTCACAGGCCCGACGTGCCACAAGAACAAGCTTCAATCTCAAGAAACCTCGCAGGCTGTCACAATCCGAAGAGTGGTCTTCTCTACACTCTGTTACGTGTTAGGGTTTTGTGTTTAGAAGGCAGCTCGAAGCGGTGACTCCAAAATTTTAAACTTGAACGTCTGTCAAGACTTCGAACTCCCCTGCCAACCCCGATAGCGGACACGCAAGCAAGGGACACGTATCCTCTCGAGTTATAATAATAATAATAATAATAGTTATAATAATAATTATAATAATAATAATAATAATAATTAATAATAATAATAATGATAAAAGTTATAATAATAGTGATAATAATAATTATTATTATTATTGTTATCTATGAACCCGTCAACCCTCAGCTCAACATCCCAAAGCCCTAAGCCATGAACATCCCAAAAAGCCCTTCTTTCTTTAAAATTCTACACATCCCAAAGCCTGAAACGTCCCTAAACCCTAAACCCTCACCCTAATAAACCCTAAACCCTCAACCCTCAACCCTCAACCCTAAACCCTAAATCCCAAAACCTGAAACATCCCTAAACCCTAAACCCGAAACCCCAAACCCTGAACTCTAGCCCTAAACCCTAAACCCTAAACCCTGAACCCCTGGGACTGTGGGCTCCAGGCTCCTCCCGGACCACCGCCGACGATGGCGTGCGTGCCTTAGGCGGAGCACGGGGTTTAGGGTCTAGGGTTTAGGGTTTAGGGTTTAGGGTTTAGGGATTAGGGTTCGGGGATTGGGGTTCAGCGTTTAGGGTTTGGGGCTTGGGGCTTAGGGTTTAGGGTTTGTGGTATAGCGTTTAGGGCTTAGGGTGCAGGAAGGGAGTATGGGCCTTTAAATGGGGAACCCTTTTCTACCCTTTAGATACCCACAAAACCCAGCGGCCTGTACTTTCAGAACCCTTCAAAGAAAGACAGGTTCCATATGAAGGGACCATGTAACTTTTAAACCCTAAACCCTCAACCCTAAACCCTCAACGCAAAATCATGCAAGGCCTTGAGGGTTTTGGGGGGTTTTCAGGTTTTAGGGTTTTAGGGTTTTAGAGCTTCAGTGTTTTATTGCTTCTTTTTTTTTTTTTGGGGGGGGGGGGGTGTTTAGGGTTTCAGGGGTTTGGGGATTTCAGGTCTTCTGGCCTAGTCCGACCCCTTACTCATCCTCCCGCTTTTCCTTCGAGGTGCACTTGGCTGCCGCCAGGGGCAGCAACACCAGCGCAGCAAGGACGAAGGCCATGGCAAGGAAAATGCGCGATAGCAGGAGAGTCACTGGGTGTCGCCCATGTACATGCCGTGATCTCCAAAGCTGCAAGCAATCCAGCGAGCTCATGTCAAACTCGCCTGCAGCTGACGCATGCATCACACGCGGTATTGCTACTGGCACGGCGGCAGGGCAGTGGACATTTAGACCATGTCAAGCTCCAAACTCCTAAGCCCTAAACTTTGGATCTCAAGCCCCCTTAAGCCCAAAATTCCTGAGACCCTAGAACCCGGTTGGTAGGTCGACCTCCTAAACCCTAAACCACCCTAAACCCGAAACCCTAAACCCTAAACCTTCAAGAACAGGGCCTAACATGTTTCCTGAACTCTACACGGCCTCCAAGGCGCTCTGGCAAGGAATCATGGGATTTTCCCCACAGGCGGGGTTGATCTTACCCTTTGGGGTCTCCATTAGAAGTTATGTCTCATAAGTTTCAGGTTTGGAAAGGTCTAGGGTCCGATTTGTTGGCCGCCAATATCGCATAGTCTTTGAATGTGGCGGGCGCCACAAAATGTCCCAAACACGTTTGTGCCGACCCCCTTATGTAGGACGTGCGTGACCTTTCAGCTCACCCCTAAACCCTAAGCCCTAAACCCCCAGCCCTAAACCCTAAACCCGAAACCCTAATCCTTCGAATGCCCTGAGCCCCAAGGAACGTGGCCTCTTCCCGCCGCGCTTCGCGCGCGGGCGGTCCTCGGGAGGTGGCAGCGTCTTCTTCTGCTTCGCGGGCGGCGGCCTCGGCAACATCTGCATGGGCCCCCGAAACCCTAAACCCTAAACCCTAAACCCTAAACCCTAAACCCTAAACCCTAAACCCTAAACCCTAAACCCTAAACCCTAAACCCTGAAGCCGAAACGGCCCCTCTGTGCACAACCCCTAGGATGGCCCTTAAGGCCCTGCGAGAAATATTCCTACACGTGATCCTCTGAAGCCCGAATGAAGGAAAAATTGCCTACTTTTAGGGTTTGGGGTTTAGGGTTTAGGGTTTAGGGTTTAGGGTTTAGGGTTTAGGGTTTAGGGTTTAGGGTTTAGGGTTTAGGGTTTAGGGTTTAGGGTTTAGGGTTTAGGGTTACACGCTTGCAACAGATGCTATACAAACAGCACGAAGAAGCGAAAAGATACAGATTGATGGAACTCCGCAACACTTTAAACTAGCAACTCGTACAAGAAATCGGCTTCGGCCGCAATCTCCACTTTGCTTGCCCTCCCGCGTATTCAACACGTGTGTCATAAAGGCCTTTTCAGGCTGTGCTTTGCATGCTTGGTATTTGTTTACTTGCTCGATTTAGTTCCTTTGCTTGGTCTAGCATTCAGTCATTCCTTTGGCCTCAAGTCAAACCGCACACATGCGAAATGCTTGGTAGGCAATTTCCCACTCAACCCTAACCCCTCAAACCCACCAAGCCTAAAAACCCTAAACCCTAAACCCTAATCCCTAATCCCTAAACCCTAAACCCTGAACCCCAAAAAAACCTTGAGAACCAAGGCCCCGGCTCCTGGGCCTTGGCTAAGGACTGCAGGATCTTCTCACGAAGCTGCGTACCTGGGAATAGTGTTGAGGGCTTCTTGGACTTTAGGGTTTAGGGTTTAGGATTTAGGGTTTAGGGTTTAGGAAACCAACCCTAAACCCTAAACCCTGAACCCTGAACCCTAAACCCTTTAGGGCTTTGGAAAGCCCAGCTTTTGGAACTCTTGGGCCAGGGTGAATCAAATGTCCATGGTTCAGGGATCGAAGTTTGAGGGGGGTTTAAGGTTTAGGGCTTATGATTCTCGGGGTCCCGGGCGTCCCCTTTTGGGGACGAAGGTCCGGGAGTGTAGTTCTTATGCACCGATGCAGCAGACCGTGGCCAGAAGCGCCGTAGCACCCCTGACCACCCTGTGTAGAAACTAGAGCGAATCTAGGGTGACCGGTTAGGACGGTTAGGAATGCAGCAGGGTTCCCTTTTTGCTTCTTGGAGTTTACGAAGGGAAACCATAGACCCTAAACCCTACCCCCTACTTAGAGGTTCGCGGGTACTTATAACCCCAACTATAAGTCTACTTAGAACCTGATTAGAAGACTTAGGGGGAACTTAGGGGGCTTATAAGTACAGTTATAGTTGGGGCTATACCCTACGTAAACCGTAAACCGTAAACCGTAAACCCTAAACCCTAAACCCTAAACCCTAAACCCTAAACCCTAAACCCTAAACCCTAAACCCTAAACCCTAAACCCTAAACCCTAAACCCTAAACCCTAAACCCTAAACCCTAAACCCTAAACCCTAAACCCTAACCCTTCTCCCAAGGCCCGCGCCGACCTGTCCTAGAGGCGACTCGTGGAATGAGTCCACACCTGATTTTGGGATTGGGAGGTTTAGGGTTTAGGGTTTAGGGTTTAGGGTTTAGGGTTTAGGGTTTAGGGTTTAGGGTTTAGGGTTTAGGGTTTAGGGTTGGGGGTTTAGCTTAGGGTTTGAGGGCTGAAGGACCCTTCTTGTTTGAGGGTCAAGGAGATGTTTGGGTGGTCAAAGACCTCTGTGTCTGGCCGTGCAGTTCCAGAACCACTCGCCAAAAGCCGATAAGCCTAACACTCTAAACCCAAACACCTGACCCCCTAAACCCTAAATCCTAAGCCCCAGACCCTAAAGCCTTGAACATTGGAGCCCTAATTGCTCTCGAGCCAAACCGAGACGGGGGTTGAGGTCGGGCTTGAAAAATTACTGGGTTCTCGTAAATTCAGGCACTTAATCAGAGGGTTTAGGGTCCTAAACCCTGAACGCTGAATCCTAAATCCTAAACCCTAAACCCCCCCCCTGTTTCTGGGTACCTGAAGTTTCCTCAGAGCCCAGGGGGTCTGGGTATTTTGTTGGGTACCTCCTTCTTGAAAGTTGGAGGCTCGTGGGTTCTCATGTGAGGGCACTAACCCGAAACCCACCCTAAACCCTAAACCCTAAACCCCAAACCCGCAACCCTAAACCCAGTAATAAGTGCCCATGAACCTTAGTTTGAACTACAAAGCAAAGGGTTTCTGGGGTCACAGGTGGGCCAGCCTCATGTTTCTCTCGTGGGTTCAGGGGGTTTAAAGCTTAGGGTCTTTTCGTGTTTCGAGTTTTCAGGGGTTCTGGGGAGGGATTTCTAGAGTGTTTCGGGTTTAGGGTTTAGGGTTTAGGGTTTAGGGTTTAGGGTTTAGGGTTTAGGGGTCGTGCACCTGCACGGTGCCTGGTTAAATCCGAAGCCCTGAAGCAACACAGGAGGGATCAGGGTTGCACGCTGGGGGTCCCAGCCGTGGGAGTGGGCCTGGTTTAGGGTTTAGGGTTTAGGGTTTAGGGTTTAGGGTTTAGGTTTTAGGGTTTAGGGTTTAGGGTTTTGGGTTTAGGGTTTAGGGTTTAGGGTTTAGGGTTTAGGGTTTAGGGTTTAGGGTCTAGGGTTTAGGGTTTAGGGTTTACGGTTTAGTTGAGGAGAACAATCGACCCAGCACCTTGGGGGCAGGCTTTTGTGTCGAGAGTTCTTCATTGGTGGAGTTTTAGGTTGGGGTCGTCGGGTGTAGTGTATTGGGCTTGGGAGGGTCCTCGTCTCTGAATCTTAAACCCGAAACCCTACTAAACCCTAAACCCTAAACCCTTCTTTTTCGGCACGCTAGTCCGTCCGCGTCTTGCCCCGGAAGCAGCAGCAGTAGAGGCAGCCTGGACCGAGCACTGTGCGGCACGGCTCCCCAGGGTTTAGGGTTTAGGGTTTAGGGTTTAGGGTTTAGGGTTTAGGGTTGAGGGTTGAGGGTTGAGGGTTTAGGGTTTAGGGTTTAGGGTTTAGGGTGTAGTACGGGTCAGCTGAACGCAATAGTGTGAAGACATGCCCACCCCAAGGCCACCCAATCACAACTCACTGCGAAACCAAACCGGAGCCAGCCCAAACCAAGCCAACCATTCACAGCTCACACGTCGAATAGGACACTGAAGTTACTTCGGACTTTGAATGATTGGGAAAGATTTTGAAGACGAGGAAGCTCCAGCAGGCAGTCCAAGCCTTCAAGGATTGGACTTCTGGGTCACTTGGAACTTTGGGCCACCCCTTTAGGTTTTTGCGAAGGGGACGGTCTGTAGAAAACTCAGGCGTGGATAGGTTGCAAGTTGAGGGTCACTTGGGAGGCCATGAGGCAAAGGAGACCCCTTTCAGGTTTTGCGAAGGGGACGGTCTGGGCCGAAGGGCCCTCTCATGCGTGAATAGGTTGCAGCTTGGGGCTCACTTGGGGCCAAGACACAGGATCTGGGGGTTTCTTGTCAGGGCCCGGCTACTAGTGGAAAGGTTGTGAGCCCCCTGCTTACTGGAAGGGTTAAAGGCCTCCCTGTTTACCGGAGGGTTTAAGGTCCCCCTTCCCTTACTTAAAGGGTTTAAGACTCCGCTGCTTACTGGGAGGGTTTAAGGCCCCGCTGCTTTGCCGCTGCTTGCTTGAGATTTCGGGCCTCCCCGCTTACTGGGAGGGTTTAAGGCCCCCCGGCCTGCTGGAGGGGTTTAGGCCCCCTGCTTACTGGGAGGGTTTAAGGTCCCGGCTACTGGAGGGTTTAATACTGGAGGGTTTAAGGCCCCCTGCTTACTGGGAGGGTTGAAGGTCCCTGTTTAAGCCCCCTCCCGCCTACTGGGAGGGTGGTCTGAAGGGCCCTCTCATAGAAAACTCAGGCGAGGATAGGTTGCAAGTTGAGGGTCACTTGGGGCCACAAGGCAAAGAATACCCCTTCAGGTTGTTGCGAAGGGGACGGTCTGGGCCGAAGAGCCCTCTCATAGAAAACTCAGCTACTTCAGCCATAATGAGGCAATGGATACCCCTTCAGGGCCTTGCTGCTTACTGGAAGGGTCAAGGGCCCTTCTGCTTACTGGAGAGTCTAAGGTCCGCCGCCTGCTGGAAGGGTTTAAGGCTTCTCTTACTGGGAGGGTTTAAGGCTCCAAGCTGCTGACTGGGAGGGCTTAAGGCCCCCCGCTGGCTGGGAGGGTCTAAGGTCCCCTGCCTACTGGAAGGGTTTCGGCACACGTGCTTACTGGGAGGGTTTAAGGCGAAGCTACTAGAAGGGTTTAAGGCCAATGCTTACTGGGAGGGTTTAAGGCCCCTTCCGACTCCTGCTGGAAGGCCCCCCCGCCTACTGGGGGGGTTTAAAATCCCCCTGCCTACTGGAAGGGTTTAAGGCCTCCCTTACGGGTTTAAGGCCAGCCCCAAAAGGCGAGGGAGACCCCCCAGGCTTTTAGGGAAATTATACCATGCTTGGCGACCAAGCTAGGCGACCCCTCAGGGGTGCGGTGGGCAGGCTCTGCAGCTCAAGCAGAGCCTGCCATGGTCTCGCTGAGCGCTCGACTGCGCCCGCCTACGCAACAGAGGTGAGAGGGGTGGCGGGCGGGTTTAGGGTTTAGGGCTTAGGGTTTAGGGTTTAGGTTTTAGGTTTTAGGTTTTAGGTTTTAGGTTTTAGGTTTTAGGGTTTTCGGGTTTAGGGTTTTTGGGTTTAGGGTTTAGGGTGTAGGGTGTAGGGTGTAGGGTTTAGGGGGACCCTCAACCCTAAACTCTTAGACCCTAGCACCCTAAACCGACCCAACTTCTCACCGCAGACCCAAAGACCCCCAACACCCGACACCCCAAACAACTGAACAGAGACCTAAACCCTAAACCCTCAACCCTCAACCCTAAACCCTTAACCCTAAACCCTCAACCCTAAACCCTAAACCCTCAACCCTCAACCCTAAACCGCGAGCAAGTTGGGGAAGCAAAGGGTTCCTTTGAAACCCGAAACCCCCAAACCCTAAACCCCAAACGCGAAACCCCACACCCTGCACCCCAAACCCCAAACCCGAAACCCCACCCTGCACCCCAAACCCCAAACCCAGAACCCCAAACCCTAAAACCCAACCCCAAATCCCAAATCCCAACGCCCGAACCCCGAACCCTAAAGCCTAAAGTCTAAAGCCCAGACCCTAAACCCTACACCCTAAACCCTGAACCCTGAACCCTAAACCCTAAACCCTAAACCCTAAACCCTAAACCCTAAACCCTAAACCCTAAACCCTAAACCCTAAACCCTAAACCCTAAACCCTAAACCCTAAACCCTAAACCCTAAACCCTAAACCAAACCCTAAACCCTAAACCCTAAACCCTAAACCCTAAACCCTAAACCCTAAACCCTAAACCCTAAACCCTAAACCCTAAACCCTAAACCCTAAACCCTAAACCCTAAACCCTAAACCCTAAACCCTAAACCCTAAACCCTACCCCACACCCTAAACCCTTCTGGCCTGCGCAGAGGACACAGGGGTTGCAGGCCAGCGGCAGCACCAGCAGCAACGGCGACAGGATCCACCTCAGAGTTCGTTTAGGGTTTGGGTCTGCAGGGGTGGTTTAGGGTTTAAGGGTTTAGGCTTTAAGGTTTGGCTTCAGCCAACACTTTGCTGAACGCCCTGGGTTCGAAAACCCCCGTAAACCGTTCCCCCCCCCCCCACCCTTTCCTGAGCCCCACACCCAAAACCAAAAACATACCCAACCCTCTTGAGTTTTTGCTGCCGCCGAGGAGCGACGCTCCTGGGAACGCATTGCCCAGACCTCGGTCAGACAGCTGTGAACCCCATGGGTAACTCCCTAAACTCCCAAACTCCCAAACCCCTCACACCTGAACACGAAACTCTAATCCCCCAAAACCCTTGAAAAACCCCAAATCGCGCCTTCGGCAATCAGCTGACCCACGTCCTGGGGCCCGATCGGAGGGGCTTTAGGTTTTCAGGGTTCAGGGTTTTAGGGGCTTTCGGGGTTTTAGGGGTTCAGGGGCTTTAAGGGTTTAGGGTTTAAACCCTTAGGTGTTTAGGCGTTAAGTTTAGGTGTTTGGGGGCTTAGGGGACTTGTTTAGGGTTCAAGGACACCAAACCCCCGACCCTTGACCTCTCATCAAGACTGGGCTCCCTTCAAACGATGTCTGCAAGACTACTCTAGGGGCCTTTAGAATGAGAATCGGGTTTTGGGTGCGATTGTAGTACGAGTATAATGGGACCATAAGGGGGATACGATTAGTAGTTCTTCCGACCCCTATACTACTCTGATCAGTAATCTTGAGAGGCAAGGCTTCGACAGGGTGCCCTTTAAATGTTGAGGATTTAAGATTTAGGGTTTTGGGATGAGGCTTGAACTTCTGGTTAGGGTTTAGGGCTTCTGGCTTTTGGGGTCCAAGGTTTAGGGATTTAGGGGTTAGGGGAGCCGGAGGGGGGGTGGTATAGAAATAACGTTTCCATGTGTTGATAGGACTATACTGACTATACGGCTTGTCAGGGAGATTCTGACCATAGTTACCCAGAACCCTACTTGCAAGCACCCACAAACCTCCCAGTATCCCCTTGCAGGGGGGGGGGGGGGGGGGTGGGGGGTGGTTGGCCCTAAACCCTAAACCCTAAACGGCTGCCGCGGGTCGCCCGAGATCTGGATGCTTGTGTGCCGGCCGTCAGAGCTGTAGACCTCGGAAGCATGTTCCAGTTGCGGCCCCCAGGGTTTAGGGTTTAGGGTTTAGGGTTTAGGGTTTAGGGTTTAGGGTTTAGGGTTTAGGGTTTAGGGTTTAGGGTTTAGGGTTTAGGGTTTAGGGTTTAGGGTTTAGGGTTTAGGGTTTAGGGTTTAGGGTTTAGGGTTTAGGGTTTAGGGTTTAGCTTACAGTGTGCTAGAGCAATACTATGTGGGCTAGAAAGGTGAACAAGAGGGCGAGGGACAAGACCATTCATATTGTGAGATTTCCCGTGGTCGATTGTATTCGGATGTTTGGGTCAGAGAGGTGAGGACGAGAACAGCGCTAACCACAGCTTAACCACACCATCAAGTCAGTTAACCTGGCATGCGATCCCAAGGGTGTGAACGTAAAGGAGGTGTGTTGACAGGAGCCCCGGGTTTGGGGTTTAGGGTTTAGGGTTTCGGGTTTAGGGTGTAGGGTTTAGGGTTTAGGGTTTAGGGTTTAGGGTTTAGGGTTTACGGTACTTGGGGCGCATCACCAGCAGCCGCCTAGTGCAGCCGAAGAGCAGTGCTGTAGCCACCCGGGCCAGCGGCGTCCTCCTCGTGCTCCTGGCAGTTTAGGGTTTAGGGTTTAGGGTTTAGGGTTTAGGGTTTAGGGTTTAGGGTTTAGGGTTTAGGGTTTAGGGTTTAGGGTTTAGGGTTTAGGGTTTAGGGTTTAGGGTTTAGGGTTTAGGGTTTAGGGTTGAGGGCGGACTTGGGCTCTCAGCAGTTTTCAGCATCGGAAACTGGATATTCTGGCCGTGATGACATCTGAATAGCGTGCGGGGCATTCTGGAGTATTCGGGTTTGGGGAAGTAATCCCCCTGATTCTTAGTAGGGAATGAGGGAGTGAGGGCCCTATGTAATCCCTTAAAGGGTACATATAGGGCCCTCATTCCCTCATTCCCTACTAAGAACCAGCCAGTAATGGGAGGTGTAAGCCTGGGAACACATGTGTGTCGGGGTGCAGTAGTCATCCAGTCAGCACAGCGGCCTCCGTAGCGCCATCGGGGTAGATGGTGATGGTGACCTGTCGCTTCTTGCATGGGGAGGTTGTGTAGGCTTGGGGCGCTTAAGTCTGCATGGCTCTGCGGATGAGACACGATCAGAACCCTAAGTCCGAAAACCCTCAGCCGTGTTGTGGCCGCCTGGGGGGGGCCTTGGGCTTATGATGTGGCCGGTGGCCCAAAGTGGTGCCAAAATCTGGGCGGTATGTATGTAGAATAAGGGTTTAAGAAGGTGAGGTCTGTCTCTCGGGTATACTGGGCCTAAGGTTGATCATGTTGAATCACATGCTAGGTTGCCAGGGGGAATTGGAGGACCCACCCGTTCCTACCCCCTGCTGCCCAAACCCTAAGCCCCTAAACTGTAGCGTTTGGGACTGGGGTACTAAGGTTTAGGGTATCGGAATCACCACAAGACCGACCTTACACATGCCCTTACAGCCCCAAGCCTCAACCTAAACCCAAACCCTCAACTCTAAACCCGAAACCCTACCTTCTTGCCCGCGGCGACATAGGTGCCTCCCAGTGGCCAACGGAGGGGAGGAAGGGCGGGGGGGGGGGGGGGGGGGGGGAAAGGGGACGTGGGGGCATGCACCTGGCCAAACCCTAAACCCTAAACCAAACCCTAAACCCTAAACCCTACAAGCCCATAACGACCCAATGGGACTCTATCTTGGACCCCTGCGGCTTTGCCCTTGGGTTTGGGGACCCTTTCTTACAGAATTCGGGAATAGATTAAAGGGAACCTTAAAGGGTACAACCTTAGGGGTGCGAGTCTTAATCCCTTCAAAAGATAGAGCCCAATGTCCTTCAAGCCCTGAATGCCCTAAGGAATGGAGCACCAGTTCGACCGGCTGTAGGCTTGAAACCCCTTGGCGCGCGCGGTTCCTGGGCAACAATCGACCCTCCACAGACCCCGTCACCTTGGTAGTGCCAAAGGTTGCTACAGGGGAGCACCTTTCACTGATGCAGGGGTGCAGGGTTTCGGGGTTCGGGTTTAGGGTAGTGTTTGGGGCGTAGTCTCACTACCATGCCGAGGATTGTTATAGATTCACTCCTTCTACTCCCCGCTCTCGCACTGAGTCACTGACCTGTCACGGTCATTCCGGGCGTCCACCGGGCATGGACGTTGCCGAAGTGGTCCCGGAATGTGCGGAAGGCCCTCGACCGGTCGTACTCCTTGGCGTTTTGAGCTCACAGGTTTGCTGTTTAGTTTTTCGGATTTAGTGGTTTGGGGTTAAAGGGTTAGGGGTTTAAGGGTTCAAGGGAAGAGGGCTTAGGGTGTCTTGTACTTGGTCTTTTGGGGGTTCAGGGTCCAACTACCCTGAACCCTGAACTCTAAACCCGAAACCCTCCCCTTACCAACCCCTGCCCTCAAACCCCCCTATACCCCACCTACACCGCATGATGGTTGCAGGGTCCAAGTGTCTTCGACATCGGAGGCGCCGCCCTGCATCGAGCGAGGAGTGACCATGTCTGCTAATTAGTCCTTGTAATGGGGAATTTGGGAATCAGTCACACGAAAACCCCTTGAAAGGTCTTGTAGGGGGATGTAGGGTATCTAATTCGCTAATGTTGGCTAGCTAGTAAGAACTAGTGTGTCTAAAGGGGCACCAGGCAGGACCCTGAATCCTGCCGGTGTTTAGGACTTAGGGTTTTGGGTTTTGGGGTCTGTCAAGCGATCTTTCAACCTCGCCAAACTAAGAACTCAGACATGTGGGCTTAGTGTCTAAGGTTTAGCTTGCCAGCTGGCCAGACATACCGATCCAACACTTGAAAGTTCATGAGAGTACTTCTAAGTCTAAATGGGGTCTCAGTACCCTATATTCATAAGAATGACAACACGATAGTTCCCCTACCTTATAATCCTACTTAGAAGTACCCGTGAGCTTCCAAGCGCCAAAAAAAAAAATCGACCTCTTCCGGCAACTACAAGGGGTCTGAGGGGTGCGCTGAAGGGGGCTTAGGGCTTGCCATAGGGTGTTTGGGGCTTCGGGCTGAGGGTTTGGGATGTATTTGAGGTTCAGGGCTTTCGGGCCTAGGGTTTTAGGGTTTGGAACGACGTAAGCTCTGCACCTCCCAACCCCTAAGCCCTACAGTAAACCCCCGGTGCTCGCCCCATGTTCGAGGAGGCGTTAGGAAACCAACATGAGCCGAAAGCTCGAAACAACCAAACCTCACCAACCCCTGACGTCTTCAACCCCGGAAACATGATAACTGCTAAGATCTAAACAGCCAGAAGCCCCAACCCTAAACCCTACACCCTCAACCTTAGAAACCCTCAATTCCCTAAAGCCTAAAACCTCCTTAACCCCTGAACCCCAAGCCCAAACCCACGTCCCCGGGCCTCCCAGGCCATTCCGGAGCCACCCGAAGAGAGCGTCTAGACCGGCGGGGGGGGGCAGAGCTGGCTTTTGGGCTGAGGCTTAGGGTTTAGGGTTTAGGGTTTAGGGTTTAGGGTTTAGGGTTTAGGGTTTAGGGTTTATGGTTTAGGGTTTAGGGTTTAGGGTTTAGGGTTTAGGGTTTAGCGTTTAGGGTTTAGGGTTTAGGGTTTAGGGTTTAGGGTTTTGGGTTTTGGGTTTTGGGTTTTGGGTTTGGCTTTTAGGCTTCGGATTCAGGACTTCGAGTGGATTAGGGGTTTAGGTCAGCTCGAAGTCTACGGCTTGTAAGCCCAAAAAACCCTTAAAAGGGAATATTTAGGGGCCTACTTCCCTCATTCCCTAAACCCCAAACCCTAAACCCTAAACCCTTAACCCTAAACCCTAAACCCTAAACCCTAAATTTAAACCCTAAACCCCTACCAAGAACCAGCCAAAGAAGGGCTTGTGGCTCCTCGTAGCAGCGCGACAGCTCCCGAAATCGCTCCTCGCGGAGACGACCGCTTATGATCCGGACTTTTGGGTCTAGGGCTTGGGGTTTACTCTAAACCCTAAACCCTAAAACCTAAACCCTAAACCCTAAGCCTAAACCCCAAACCCGAAACCCCAAACCCCAAGCCGGCTTCGGCTTGGGGTTTAACGAATTTAGGGCTTCAGCGTTGGCTCGCGAACCAGAATCTCATTCATGGCAACTCTAGACAAGGACGATGCCATCAAAAATGTGGGCGAGGGCGGTCTAAGGTTTAGGTTTTAGGGTTTGGGGTTTAGGGTTTAGGGTTTAGGGGTTTAGGGGTTTAGGGCTTAGGGTTTAGGGTTTTCGGGTTTAGGGGTTTTGGCGTGTAGGGGTTTGGGGCTTGGGGCGAAGCTAATAACTTATAATCCTCGAATCCCCAAGACACGACTGGTGTGTACTCACAGCTCCGATGTCAAAGCCGTTTTAGGTTTAGGGTTTAGGGTTTAGAGTTTAGGGGTTAGGGTTTAGGGCTTAGGTTCATGCTTCAAGGTCCCTCAACCACGAAGCCAGTTCGCGGCTGAGGGCTTAATAATAGGGTTATAGGATTCAGGGGTTGTCGCCCTGTAGGTACTACAAGCAACTCACCACGATTCTTCTGTGATGAGTTGCGGCATCCAGCATGTCACTCGGGCACTTTGTGCTCGAGTTCCTTAACCCAAGCCCTACAATGCTAAGCCCTGTTGAGCGGTGGCCACCACTGTGCGCGCCTCCGCGTCGGGGGCATCGTTCCTTGCCAAAATCCGCACAGGCCAGGGCCATCTAGAGAGCTTTTAGAGAAGTGCAGAACGAAGAGCAGAAAGGTATAGGATATTCAGGCAGCGACTCTAGTCCACATGTAGGTTTGCGGGCTTCCGAAATTGTAAGCATACTCTTGGGAGATGCTCAGAGTAAGCCGTAAACCCCAAACCCTAAACCCTAAACCCTAAACCCTAAACCCTAAACCCTAAACCCTAAACCCTAAACCCTAAACCCTAAACCCTAAACCCTAAACCCTAAACCCTAAACCGTGACTTAGAAACCCACCAAAGAGAGCCAAGGAGCTTGTCGGGATGCCACTTTAAGGCCTGCTGGCGGTAGGCCTTGAGGCAGCAGAAACACTGACAGCCATCCCTACACCCTTAACCCCCAAACCCTAAGCCCTAAACCCTACACCCTAAACCCTAAACCCTAAACCCTAAACCCTAAACCCTAAACCCTAAACCCTAAACCCTAAACCCTAACCCCCAAACTCTAAACCCTACATACCAAGCTCAATTGTAGTGGCTTTTTCTCAGCGGCGGTTTCAAGCGCTCGGTTCTCATGATGCTTTTTGTGGGGAGGTGCTACTAAAAATGCGGAGCCCTATGTCTACAGGGGACCCCAAGAAAACCCTAAACCCTAAACCCTAAAACCCTAAACCCAAGAGAGATCATGATTTGATTCCAAGAGCCCTAAACCCTAAACCCTAAACCCTAAACCCTAAACCCTAAACCCTAAACCCTGTAGCTTGTCCATGTACACACTCCCGGAGAGCTTGGGGAGGAGGAGGGTGTGGGGTTTTCGGGGCTTAGGGCTATAAGGGCTATAGGGGCTATAGGGGCTATAGGGGCTATAGGGGCTATAGGGTTATAGGGTTATAGGGTTTAGGGCTTAGGGCTTAGGTCTTAGGGTTTAGGGCTTAGGGTTTAGAGTTTAGGGTTTAGGGTTTAGGCGCTCCAGAACGAACGCTGAGGATGCCTCGGACCCTGCACAGGTGGCCTTCTTGAGCTCCTTGGCGTCGGCGCCGCGCTTCACTTCCAGAACGTCCTTCTTGGAGATTCAGGGGTACTTATAACCCCAAATACTTATAAGTCTACTTATACGTCTACTTCTACGTCTACTTGCAAGTCTACTTATAAGTCTGCCTAAAAGTCTACTTGGAGGACTTGGGGGACTTAGGGGGCTTCTAAGTACAGGTATACTTGGGGGTCTAAGTACCCTGAACCCTCTAGCCCAGCCGAACAAAACAGGGCCCAAGTAAGGCTTAGGGTTTAGGCTTCCGGGTTTAGGCCGAATTCGCACTTGTCAACGTGAGACCTTTAAACCCCCCTAAACTCTAAACGCAAACCCCCTACTTGGGGGTAAGGGTTTAGGTTTTAGATGTTTAGAGTTTAGGTTATCTGGGGAAATTACCTGGCACAGCTAAATCACTCCACCAGTCTCAATGGCCCTCTTCCCCCAGAAACCCTGATTGCGCACAGAGGGTTTTAGGGTTTAGGGCTTCGGGAAGCACTGGAAAAGTCCCCCAACATGCCATTGCCTCACAGGTCTTGCTATGGTTGGCATTTGATTTTTCCGCGGGGCGGGGGGGGGGCTCCTATACTATACTCCCCTTAGAACCTTAATAAAAATAGTAGTTTTAATATCCTCTTGGGTTTTATATGAACAAAAAAACTCCCGAAGGGGATATAGTATAGGGCGACTGTCGATGGCGATCTGCCGAAAGGAAGGGTCAGAAGGACAGGAAGTCCCATTGCAAACGTGCAACTCCGTTCCCTAAACCCTAAACCCTAAACCCTAAACCCTAAACCCTAAACCCTAGGGTTGATAAGCCCTAAACCCCCAGAACAGCTTAAAGCTGTCATTCAAAATGCGTTTCAAACATGGCCAGCGCCGTCTACCGGATTCTATGGGGCCGAACCCGAAGCTTCAAACCCTAAACCCCAAACCCTGCACCCTGCACCCTAAACCCGAAACCCTAAACCCTAAACCCTAAACCCTAAACCCTAAACCCTAAACCCTAAAGACCTTTAGCACTTTGGTCGAAGCTCCCAGCAGTTCGTCCGCGAGGCGGCGAACGCAAAGGTGGCGCCGAGGACCAGCGCAAACAGCGCCATGACAGTGGGGTTCACTGTTCAGAGATAGGGTGTAGGGTTTAGGGTTTAGGGTTTAGGGTTTGGGGTTTAGGGTTTTGGGGTTTAGGGTTTAGGGCTTGGTGTTTAGGGTAGAGGGTTTCTAGGGTCTATGGGTTTATAGGGTTTAGGGTTTACGGATTGAGGGTTTAGGGTTTAGGGGTTTAGGGGTTCAGGGTTTGGTTCTATCTACTGAAAGGCTCAGGGAAACATGGCAAGCAGGTTATGAGGCGGTAAGTAGGATCCACCCAACTTAGGGCACTGATAGCCCTGCCTATATCTCACCGACTGGCATGTAGATAGGAGTGGCATAAGCCCTGAACCCATTGAGGTATTGCGTGGCTGCAAAGAGGGAGATTTCCGGTTCCTTCTGAGACCGCTCAAGATCGGTGGGCTCAGACCCTCTACACCCTCAGCCCCGAATCCCTTCAGACCCGAATATCCCTAAACCTCAAACCCCCAACCCGGCATCCCTAAACTTGAACCTCAAACCCCTGAACGCAAACCCCAAACCCCAAACCCCAAACCCCAAACCCCAAACCCCAAACCCCAAACCCCAAACCCCAAACCCCAAACCCTAAACCCTAAACCCTAAACCCCTCAAAATCCGCTGCCACGGGAGGCCCCAAGCGCCCAGCGTGCGGCGAGGCCACACTTTCCTGCGACGAGCTTCACCTTGGAGTCGTGAACTCAGACGGGCAGAGGCTGTTTG